AGACAGTAATCTGGTTTAGAGAGAAAGTCAAGAGTATCTGTTTTCAATGCTAGAAACCAACTGTATGGCCACAAGTAAGCCACATCTGTAAAACGGATATGCACGAAAATATCAGTTTCTGGAACAAATCCACAGGTCATAAGTGGACGAACAGCCATAACATTCCCCCGAAATTTACAGCCAGTGAACGCGAAGAAGTGATAGAACAATTGTTCTAGTAATTTGGGTTAGAGAGGAAATCGGAGAGTATTTGCTTTCAAGACTAGAAACCAACTGTGTGGACACAAATAAGCCAAAACTACAAAACGGATATGCATGCAAACATGTTAAATGTTGAATTGAGAATCGACATTACAGCACTCAGGACACCTCCATAAGCGCTTCGTCCCGATCTTCAGCAGCAAGCAAAGAGTTAAAATTTCGATGGCACCAGTAACTGTCTGATTGTATATCCGTCTCGCCTTTCCCCTGAGTGTCGAGCGTGCAGGTATCTGGTAATCACGCAAACATCAGTTCCTGAAAGAAAACCCCAGATTATAAGTGGACGAACAGCCATGAAATTCCACCGGAATTAACAGCCAGTGAACTGCGAAGAAGTGATACAACAATTGTTAAGTACACTGCAGATGTCACTGCTGTGGAGAGCAATTTAAAATAACAAACCATTGATTTTAATCCCTGAGTTAAATTCCCAATTATCTTACAGCAGACATGTTGTTCTCAAGCACAAAGTAAATGACATAATTTTACTATTGACAGGACAGTGCCGGCTATTACTGTACATAAAACATATGATATGAGAAAAATTTAGATGCTAGGAAAAGTGCCGCAAGGAGATGGTTTATCGCACAGTTTTCAAAAAATTATCAAATTACCACAAACGCACACTCGAAAATTTAATCGCATTCGTTTCGTTTCGTGACTTAGTCCTAAACACTCCTGGATTTTATGGTTTATGACTATTTTTTGCAACACATTTTGAGAAATTTACAAAATTACATTAAATGCTCTCTTGGCGATTTGATAGTTTTCGTTTCGCGATTTAGTTCAAAACACTTCTGGATTTCAGGGTAAACGTACTTTTTCATAAGGGTTAAGAAAATGAAACCAAAAGGCATGAAATAACACTCACAGATAAATGCACAAATGTCCTTAAACTGCCGTAAGATAAACAGTACAACATATAGGCATTATTTTTCACTGTTTAGAATTTCAGTGTCATAACATTCTGTGTTGAAACTTCCCCCGTCTTCAGGTATATTGGGCATATAGGGCTAGGTCTATATTTTATAGACCAATCGGCACTTGATGTTGATGAATTGTTCAAACTTCATTACACCCTTGGTCAATTATTTATCACCACACATCATACGTAGTTTGTGACTGAAAGAATAAGGCGGTTCGCACATTGTGTAGTGGTTACAGCTAGACTGCGATATGTCCGCCGTTCGGTTCAACGCTTCTGATTTCAGCAAAACCATATCTAGTCGTCTGCTACGATATGCTTAAATGACAGGCGTCTATTATGCCCCCTTCCAGTAAAATCCTGGAAACAACAGATCGAAATGCAAATACACACATGTTACCTACAAGAACCTACCAAAATAATAAAAGAGCAAATGTGTATTTTTTTTTTTTTTAAGGACATTGTAATAGCAGCAGAACAGGAAAATTTTTGAAGTTTAAAACAATACATCTGAATGGTTGACTGACTGACTGACTTTCTACCCTACCAGGACATCACACAAGTGATAAACACCCGATGACACAATGTGCCACCATGTGGGTGAGGATCACCGCGGAGAGGTCCCAGAAAACGCGTTCAGCCTTTTGGCCATATTTATGGCCAGGCTATATTGCGGCCCCTGGCAAGAGCCAGGGTGGGGCTTCAGAAAACGAAAAATTTCGTTCTAAAATGGACGGAAAGTTACAGGATAACTGAATGGTTGCATTTGAAAAAACAGTTATGACGAAATTTATTGCTTGATAAAATGGATAAAATCTCCTGTTGTGCATAAACTGACGCAGTGCTGGCAGTCATGAAAGTAAAGTCGGGAGAGGTGAACCAGCTTCATTGCGCACGGTTATAAACCATAAGTGCTCTGCCACCAGCTGATAAGAAACTGTCCCCCAGTGTCGCCGTCCGTGCGAAACTCTGTAGCTACAGCGACGTTCCTCCATTTACCTCAGTTTTATCTCTGGTACCCAAAGTCCTAGAGGCTGGGTAAACCCCGGAACCGCCCGGTTTCGAACACCGGCCGTGGGCTGCAGCGAGTCGCAGCTGGATTTGGAAGCGAAGTCTTCTATCGCCTGCGCTAACGCGGCTCACCTAGTGCTGGCATCAATGTGAAAGAGAAGTAAAAGAATATATTTGAAGATACAATAGTGTATTTTTGTAAGATTTCATCTGACTTATTTCTGAAGAGATATTATGATTGTATACCCGCCATATCCACCCAGACGCCGGCTCCCGTAGTAAATGGCAATACTGTTTATAAATGATAAACACAGTCATTAAATTCGTGCTATTTGTAAACAGTTTATTCTGTTAGTATAGCGGTACTATTAGTAAATAGTATATACTTTTTGTAAATTAGTACTAGTAGTAAATAGTATATACTTTTTTGTAAATTAGTACTAGTAGTAATATTAGTAGTAAATTAGTACGATTTTAAAATATTATATACTATTATATATGCTGTATATACGCGGAAAACATGAGAAATGTCAAAAATTGCCAGACGTGTGACAATTATGATCCGCTGATAACTTGTGGCAGACCTGTTCCGGAAGTTCACTATGCAGATGACACAGTCCCCCTTTCGAAAAATGTAAAGGGAACATACAATTCAATAAAGTCTGTCAAAAAAAAAAACACACACACACAACGAACATCAAAGCCCATTCTTGAATTTATAAAAAAAATGTCCACAGAAAAATCTTGTTGTCACTTAAAAATAACATTAAATGATTAAGAACGTTAAAGTGTAACGAACTTTGAATATTAAGGCTCTAAAATAAATAGCAATGGAGACTGTTTAACAGAAGTCAAAAGGAGGATGGCCATAACAATGCAAAGATTAAACAGCCTAAAAAGTCTATGGTTAAGCACTAACAAGGAGATAAAAATTAGAATTTTGAAAGCATGCATCTTCCACATTGTGGCTAAATACGGATGTCAGTCGTAAACTATCTCCCAGTCTTTAAGGAAGAAAATAGGGGCTTTTGAGCTAAAATGCTATCGAAAGATTCTCAGTCGTGAACAAAAAATAGAAGAATTACTAACATTTTAATATATCAAGTAAGAATTGCTATTAAACAGCATATTGCCTTGGAAACTGAAATATTTTGGTCATATCGAGCGCCACTGCGGATTGGAAAAAATAATAGCAGAAGGTATGGTACCAGGAAGGAGGGGCAGGAGCCGACCGACACGAAGATGGACACAGGATATAAGTGACTCCTTGAGTATGAAAGTATACTAGGCAGGACAGCTGGCGAGAGACCGAGTTTCTTTCATGCAGATAGTGATGAGAGCGACGTTCTGCAAAGGAGCTGCTACATAATGATGATGATTAGAAAATTAGTACATTCGGGAAGTAAAGCAAAGGAACATTTTCCACGCCTTTATGCGTTTTGGGCATATAGGGCTAGGCGTATAATTTATAGACCAATGGGCACTTGGTAACACGCCGGTTGCGTTTACTTCCCATGACTTTACATGGTACCCAGTCAGCACATGTGTTAACCTGGTAACCAAGGTCATTGTTTAAGAAAAGTCAATCACGGTTCGGATTTAAACATACGACCTTCAGATTCGCTGGTTAGCATCTAGCTATTCCATCGTGTCGGCTCCCGTAAATAGTATATATTATTAGTAAGATAATACTATTAGTACATAGTTTATCGTAGTTGTAAATCAGTTCTATCAGTAAATAGTATATACTATCGGTGAATACTGTTCTTTTTCTTAAAGTCCATGCTGTGTGTCGTTGGTAGTCATGTCTATCCACATAATTCTGTCTCGTGTACTTTCAATCAAATCTGACACAGATGATCCTTCATGCCATGATCTCAAATTGTGCAGGATCTGTTCTCTCGGTCTCCCTCTGCCTCTTCTTCTCTCCAACTTCCCTACTGGCATCTACAGTTTTCTCCTTCTCATCACAAAGAATGTAGGTTGTCTCTTTCTGATGTGGGCAAACAGCTTCTTTAAAGACATCCTCATTGCTTTTTTTTTATCGATCCAGGGCATTCTCATCATTCGCCGATAAAACCATATCTCCGTAGCTTCTAAATAAGTTTTTACGAATTTTGCAACTGTCCCTGATAGCAAGATATGATTTATATAGCTATTAGTAAATTTCAGTACGTATAATATACTGATCTTTCAAGTAGCGCAGTGGTTGCTTCTATGGCAGAACTTATATCTTCTTTTTCTCGTCTTCTTCTTCTTCTTCTTCTTCTTCTTCTTCTTCTTCTTCTTCTTCTTCTTCTTCTTCTTCTTCTTCTTCTTCTTCTTCTTCTTCTTCTTCTTCTTCTTCTTCTTCTTCTTCTTCTTCTTCTTCTTCTTCTTCTTCTTCTTCTTCTTCTTCTTCTTCTTCTTCTTTCTCTTCTTCTTCTTCTTCTTCTTCTTCTTCTTCTTCTTCTTCTTCTTCTTCTTCTTCTTCTTCTTCTTCTTCTTCTTCTTCTTCTTCTTCTTCTTCTTCTTCTTCTTCTTCTTCTTCTTCAGCATTTCGAGCCCTTGAGGTTCATTGCTGCAGATATCACCGGCCTCCACTCGTCTCTCTATTAGGCCTTCTCTTTCTAGTTGATGTCACCAAATGTTTGCTAGTTAGTCTGCCTTGTTGTCTACGACCATTCAGCTCCCTTGTGTATACAGTTCAGACAACATATGAATAAATCAAATGCAATATAAACGGATCGCAAATGTATACATAGAAGTGGATCAAGAATCAGCACTGTGGAAGAACCCAAACATCGTCACCTGGAGGTTCGCCATGTCAGAAGAGGAATCCGCTACACGATTCGACATCTTGAGCAACAGAGAAACGGAACTAGCCATGATGATTCTCATGTACGGAGTCACCCCTGCCATTTCCATTATCGGGATTGTCGGCAATGTCTGCAGTATTTTAGTTCTCCTAAAACAAAACTGCAAGAAGTGTTCCAACATTCTCCTTCTGGGATTGACAATCAGTGACCTGACCTATCTCATTGGCTTCAACAGTGTTCCTAAGATTATTTACACTCTTTCCGGGAAGCAGTCTTTCCCTTATGAAGCTTCTGTTTCCGAAACGTTATTCTTTTTTTACAGAATTTTCCTCATCATCGATTATTCTTCAGGATTCGTGGGACTAACTCTTCCAATGTTGATTACGATAGAAAGACTAGTTACTGTCTTCTTCCCGCTAAAGGTCTCTAAAATCATAACACCTAGAAGAACTATCATAGCCATTTCGGGAGTGTTTATATTTTGGTACGGTAATTTTATATATACGATGTTTTGGTTTTCTCTTAGCTACACATACGAGCTTTCAGGGAATAGAAGTGTTTACATGATTGCTCATACAGAGGTATTTGAACACGATAAACCAGCTGTTTACGCGATAAATGAAGCCTGGATATATTTGAGCATGCGTATTCCTTCGGTGTTTACGTTTGTCGGTTGCATCATTATAGGAATCAAAATTAAAATGGCGTCGGACAAGCGGCGGGAGATGACGGGGAAGAACCAGTCCATGTACAGAACAACAAAGACACTTTTGGCTGTGTGTGTTGTGTATACAATGACTTGCGCTATAGCCTCACTTCCTGCTATCGTGCCACAGTACGTCTCGTTTTCTATAAGTGACGAGACAACGAGCAACATTTGTCAAGTTACCTATCATATAATCAGCACAGCCGGGTGTATCAATAGTTCCTGTAATTTTGTGATCTATATTGTTTTCAACAAGAATTTCAGAGATGCATACAAGGCCTTGTTTTCCAAATCTAGAAGAAGGATCAAGGCAACAGATACATTTTAGATTCTACAGCGGCTTGGCTGTCGTGTGTGCTTAAGGATTGTGAATGCCCTTTCGAAATGCCTACATAAATGGGATTTCAAGTCAGTTAAGAGCATTTGGCCGCAGCACCTTTCCCATTGACGCAACAATAGCTGAGCATCGTGTTGTTAAGAAAGTAATCGAAAATTACTTAAATAAAAACCTGTCTAGAAAAACTACAAACAAGGAATAAACTATGGAGGTTTTTAATGACGTCCTAAAGATGATACACAGTTGAGATTGAAACAGCTGTTTAAAAGTTTTTTTCGTAGATGGAAATTAAACAGTGTCTTTTCTGTTGTATTTGTAGTTAGCATTTCGAGTTATAGCGACTCGTAATTCCAACATACCGCGATCGAACCCACTGCTGGATGCGTGGATTTTTAATCATGGTATCATGCGTCGCAGGTCGACCCAGCCTAAAATGGGTACCAGGATGGCTGTCCTTGGGAAGTAAAGACAGCCAGCGTAATGCTGACCACATTACCCACCCAGTTCCTAGTGGGACGCTCTTCCCATATGCCCGATGCGCCCTTTTTCGTGAAAAGGGATCTTTACTTTTACGTACTTACTATTTCGAGGTATAGTATACACAAAGACATACATCAACACGTGTCATGCCGACTGGAGTAGACGATCATGCTTCTACATATCTTGTGGAATTCGATAAAATGTATCAGTTATATATATATATGGTATATGTCACGATAAGAGACCCAACAATAAGAGTGCCCTCCCTTCCTACTGATGCCTCGATCTGGTGTAGCGCCTTTAATATGTCGCAGGGTAGGAGTATCATGCGAACTAAGTCGTATTTTGCTCCTTGTCAGCGGCCGACGATATCGCGCCTTCTATGCTGTGAGAGATTTTAACGTTCTCAGAATATGTATAACTGGGCCTAACCCCAACCTCCCTACTCCACAGCCTCAGCCGTTGTCTCACCGCTGTATGCAGCCTTTTTTGTACGCTGCACACAGTCGTGCGAACTAGGATGCACCCCTGCAACATCGCACAAGTGCTACACCAGATCGAGGCATCAATGGGAAGGCGGTCACTCTCATCGTTGGGTCTCTTAACGTGACTAGAACTATATATATATCCTATTTTTGGAGCTGCTGAGGTGTATCGGCTGGACGGTCGCCTACGGATCGGAAGGTCGTGGGTTCGGGTCCTGGCAATGCTTGACTTTTTGTTTTCAAATGACCGTGGCTGCCAAGTCGAGCCAGCCTTGAGTGGTTACCAGGTATAGGCCTGGGAAGTAAAGGCGGCTGGCTTGATGTTTAACACATCACCCACCGAGTTTAGATCGGTCTATATAATATAGATCTAGTCTAAATGTTCAATACGCATAAATGTGTGGAAAAAGATCCTTTACTTATTTTTAAAATATATATTTCATTAGAGAGGAATAGGCTGTCAAAGTTGGCATCCCACACAATTAGTAGCTCTAAACAGCTCTGCGTTCTTGTCCTCTGTTGTTTCTATAACAGATCTTGCAGCGTTTTTTATCGCAGTATCTTCCAACAGATCTTCACACCAGTAATTTTACAATTTATTACACACCATAACTGAGTCGCTCTGGCATTGCTGCTAGATCTCCGCCTCAAACCCTATGGTTTTGGGTTCAAATCACAACGGAGCTGGACGGGTTTCAAACAAGGTTGTCCTGGCTCTCAGGTCAATTCAGCCTTAAAGGTTACCTAGTAACGTCATGTGAAATAAAGGATACTAGAGTTATGCTGAGTTATCTATAGAATATAGATCTATCACTGTATACTTCCAGTGTAAAATGGAGGATTAGGCATGGCAGAATTTTTAGCTTCAAAGTTAGTTTTGCTTGCAACAGCGCTTTGCTGATGTAGTTTCCACATATGGACGGTAGTCAACGGTTTCGCTGCCTGAGCTATTGGGTTAGTGCTCGGTGCAGCCATGTGAGCTGTGTTTTCAAATGGGATGCCTTTCATTTGTGCAGAGGCTGAGCCGTGGTATTCAGTATGGCCTGTAGTCGGTTTACGTGTAAGATCTGGTGAAATACCTTATGTAATAATTCTACGTGGGTGTAGCCAACTTATCGTGCCTGACTACTTCCATCAACGACAAACTGCATTTCTGGTGGCGACTGTTGGCTTTCTGGTGGCGACTGTTGGCTTTTTGGTCGCGACTGTTGGATTACTGGTGGCGACTGTTGGATTTCTGGTGGCGACTGTTGGATTTCTGGTGGCGACTGTTGGCTTTGTGGTGGCGACTGTTGGCTCTCTGGTGGCGACTGTTGGCTTTCTGGTGGCGAATGTTAGCTTTTGGTTGCGACTGTTGGATTTCTGGTGGCGACTGTTGGCTTTTTGGTGGCGAATGTTGGCTTTCTGGTGGCGACTGTTGGCTTTCTGGTTGCGACTGTTGGCTTTCCGGTTGCGACTGTTGGATTTTTGGTGGCGACTGTTGGATTTCTGGTGGCAACTGTTGGCTTTCTGGTGGCGACTGTTGGCTCTCTGGTGGCGACTGTTTGCTTTCTGGTGGCGAATGTTGGCTTTCTGGTTGCGACTGTTGGATTTCTGGTGGCGACTGTTGGCTTTCTGGTGGCGACTGTTTAATTTCTGGTGGCGACTGTTGGATTTCTGGTGGTGACTGTTGGATTTCTGGTGGCGACTGTTGGCTTTCTGGTGGCGACTGTTGGCTCTCTGGTGGCGACTGTTGGATTTCTGGTGGCGAATGTTGGCTTTCTGGTGGCGACTGTTGGCTCTCTGGTGGCGAATGTTGGCTTTCTGGTTGCGACTGTTGAATTTCTGGTGGCGACTGTTGAATTTCTGGTGACGACTGTTGGATTGTGTGCCTCTAGAAATTGAAATATACATTTACTGCGCATATTTCTAATCGTCTATTCACCAGTTTTGCAAATGCGACAGTGAGGGTCATTTCATTTGATTTTCGAGCGCACAGGAACGGAGCAAGTTTGGGGTGACCCGATTGCAGTCAAGTTGAAATCTCTACCAAGACTATGATTTAAACTGTATGCCTAATACGCCTAAAGGTGTTTAAAAGTTGTCCCTTTTATTCTTTTTTAAACTCAGCTTATTATAACCTGGTGTAAACATGCTAGACCGCAGTTGTCTAATTTCTGTAAACATTTTATTGTTTTTTCCGTGTTTTTTTTTTTTCAACTTACTGTCTTATTCATTACATTGACAGACCATGATACTCTTTGGGATTTCCTCAGAAGCCGCATCTTCACTACCACGAGATGTCTTTCAATGAACTTGGTAATTGTAACATGTTAAAAGTACAGGTTTTATATATCACTTTAACATTGTTTTCTGACCAATTATTTTTTTTTCTTTGTTCTATCCCACCTTATTTTCATTTCTTCCTTTCTTTGCTTCAAATCTTTCCTTCTTTCTTTTCTTCTTCTTCTTCTTCTTCTTCTTCTTCTTCTTCTTCTTCTTCTTCTTCTTCTTCTTCTTCTTCTTCTTTTTCTTCTTCTTCTTCTTCTTCTTCTTCTTCTTCTTCTTCTTCTTCTTCTTCTTCTTCTTCTTCTTCTTCTTCTTCTTCTTCTTCTTCTTTTTCTTCTTCTTCTTCTTCTTCTTCTTCTTCTTCTTCTTCTTATTCTTCTTCTTCTTCTTCTTCTTCTTCTTCTTCTTATTCTTTCTCCTCCTTTTCCTCGTCTTCTTCTTATTCCTCTTTTTCCTTCTCTTCTTCTTCTTTTTCTGCTTCTTATTTTCCTCCTCCTTCCTTTTCCCAATATGTCTGATTTCAGCAAACTGGTAATTAGTCGCCTTGTGCCACACGCTTGCTAAGGAGCAGCGGTTCCTTTCCCTTCAAAACAGAGCCACGGAATCCCTAAGGGAAAAACACTGGAATCTGATGAAGAGTGTGAGAGCATCAACAAACGGACACCCACACCGTCCCTGGAGCTGAAGCTTGCACATCAAAGCTGTGTTCAGGAAGTAAACTGCAGCACTGAGACACATGAAAATGTGTCAGATGATTTTCTGCCGCTGTTTATTTCTTGATAACATTTTATGATGGTTTTTCTGCGTCTCTTGTGTGATCAAGACTGCGCTAGTCACAGAAAGGAAACCTTATCTACGATCTCAGCTTTAGCCAAAGTTGAAAGTTGAAGCTAAAGTCGAAAGCTGACGTTAATGTCAAAGGTTGAAGCTAAAGTCGAAATCTAAATTGAAGTCGAAAGCTGAAGTTGAAGTCGAAAGTTGAAGTTAATGTCGAAAGTTGAAGCTAAAGCCAAAAGCTAAGGTTAAAGTCGAAAGATGAAGTTAATGTCGAAAGCTGAAGTTGAAGTCGAGAGCCGAAGTTACAGTCGAAAGCTGAAGCATAAGTCCAAAGTTGAAGCTAAAGTCGAAAGCTGAAGTTGAAGTCGAAGGTTGAAGCTAGAGTCGAAATCTAAATTGAAGTCGAAAGCTGAAGTTGAAGTCGAAAGTTGAGGTTAATGTCGAAAGTTGAAGTTAAAGTCGAAAGCTGCTGAAGTTAAAGTCTAAAGCTGAAGTTAAAGTCGAAAGTTGAAGCTAAAATCGAAAGCTTAAGTTAAAGTCGAAAACTGAAGCTAAAGTTAAAAGCTCAAGTTGAAGTTAAAAGGATCGACTACAGTACACTGGGCTCTACCCTAAATTGCTATATTTCTTTCTGCAGCACGGCTAGCCGCCTGCCGAAAGCGTTTTACAAATCACTAAAAACCTAGCTCTGGCGACGACCCTCAGAGGTCTCCGTAAAAAATGCACCCGTGATTTAAGCGACGAAGCAATGAAACGAACCCACTTGCTCTAAAAGCAAGAGGCAAACAGCTGGGTCACTTCGCCACGAAGACCGCCTAAACTCATCTCTATAGGACACACCATGGGACACAGGGGCAGGCTTTCAGTCGCGTCGTCCTCTTGGTGACCCAAGCTGGACTACACAACTGCAGATGGAGAGTGGGATGTAGCGTGGAATGTAGCGTGGGATGTAGAGTGGGATGTAGAGTGGGATGGAGAGTG